TCTACCACTCCATGGAACGATGCAGCGGAGTATGTGGATTACGTCATAGCCTCCCTCCGTTTTCTTTCGACACCTTCGTCCGTTTTCTTCACCGCCCGTGCGACCCTGCATCCCTTGCTGCCACACGGATTATGTTTGGTGAGTAACTTATAATAAACGCTTAATAGTTATTTGGAATTGTGAATTATTATTATATTGAGGATAAAAGATTCGTAGAGTTTAAAAAAGGTGTTGGTATCATTTCAGGGGTGTTAATGGCGCTGGATGTGGTGCAAGAACGCGGTATGAGTGTGGCGGACATAAAGTGGGGGGACTCAACTAAATGTCGATTTCCCTTGCTGGAGGTGTTGCATCCTCTGCCGCTTCCGTATATGGTTCTCTTGTACGCCGTGATGTTTATTTGTGCGTAAATTTTCATAGAAAGTGTTTTGTTGACTAGAATTATATACAAGGAATTTTGAACACAGGAAGTAAATAGTAAGATGGTTATTCGCGTACTATTACTACTACTACTACTACTATTAATGGTGATGATGATAATCAAATAATAATATAATGATAATAGCAATTATAACAATAATTATAAATATTATATTATAATACTAATGGTAATAGTAATATAATAACAATAGCAACAATACTAACAATAATAACATTAATTATTATATTAAAATGAAAACGATAATTTCCCGTTTTCTTTGAAGGATCTATAATATTAAAATGAAAACGATAATTTCCCGTTTTCTTTGAAGGCTCCGTCATGATGTGCCTCGGCCTGAAGTGGCGCGCTTCCTGCAGTGTCTTCGTGGCTTCCTACTGGTACTTGTTCCTCCTGGACAAATCCTCGTGGAACAACCACTCCTATCTGTACGGTCTCCTGTCGTCCATTCTGCTGCTGTCTGATCCTCATCGATGCTGGTGGGTGGCGACTCTTGAATTTTGTTTGTCGGTGTTTATGAGGTTCTGTCTCTTTTTTTTTTTTCTCTCTGTCTTTCTCTTCCGACTTCTATCTCTTATTATCTCTGTCTTCTTCCTTCTACATCTTTTCGTCCAACCATCTCCCCCTCCCTCTTTTCTTTTTCACTCTCTCTCTCGCTTCTTCTTTTTACCTCCCTCCCTCTCTTCTTTCTCTTTCTCTCTCTCTCTCTCTCTCTCTCTCTCTACTCTCTCTCTCTCTCTCTCTCTCTCTCTCTCTCTCTCTCTCTCTCTCTCTCTCTTCTCTCTCTCTCTCTCTCTCTCTCTCTCTCTCTCTCTCTCTCTCTCTCTCTCTCTCTCTCTCTCTCTCTATCTCTCTCTCTCTCATCTAACTCTCTCTCTCTCTCATTAACTGATTGTAGATTGACAAATAGAAAGCAACTGATAGGGCTTAAATAGTCTGTAAATCTGTATTAAAGTTCAAGTAATCCGGGTTTTTTGTTTTGTCACTATTTCTGTACTCTAGGGAATAGTTTAGTTATTCTGTAAGCATACAAGTATTCAACCAGAAATTAATTATATTACATCTCGAAAAATAGTAACATAACAACTAAATAGATAAAATTCCATGAATTCATGTTCTATATATATGCGCACACACAGATATATATATATATATATATATATATATATATATATATATATATATATTATATTCTCTTCTTCTTCATCCCTCTCTTTCCCTTTCTTCTTCCTTTTCGCAACCTCCCTCCCTCCATCCTTCTCTCTCTCCCTCCTCCCTCCCTCTCTAAATTCCCTAACGCCCCAACCCCACTTCCCACTCGCTCCCTCTCCCACCACCAGGTCCTTAGACGGAACAACGAAGCCAGGCCTCCGCGACAGCCACGTCCCCTTCTGGAGTTACGTCCTCCTCCGAACCCAGGGTTTCCTTCCTCTACTTCTTGGCCGGGATCAAGAAACTAGACCCCGATTGGCTGTTGGGTTACTCGATGCAGAACCTCTCCGAGCACTGGGTCTTCTCGGTGTTCAGGTATGGTCGCCTGGAGAGGGAAGGGAAGGAGGGAAGGAGGGAAGGGAGGAGGGAAGGACGGGAAGGGAGAGGGAAAGAGGGAGAGGGAAGGAGGGAGGAGGGAAGGAGGGAAGGAGGGAGGAGGGAGAGGGAGAGGGAGAGGGAGGGGGAGGAGAGGGAGAGGGAAAGGAAGGAAGAGAGGGAGGGGAGGGGGAAGAGGGAGAGGGAAGGAGGGAGGAAGGGGAAGGGAGAGGGAGAGGGAAGGAGGGAAGGGAGAGGGAAGGGGGGAGGGAGAGGGGGAGGAGGGGAGGAAAGGGAAGGAGGGAGAGGAGGGAGGAGGGGAGGGAGAGGGAAGGAGGGAGGAAGGAGGGAAGGAGGGAAGGAGAGGGAAGGAGGGGATGAGGAAGAGGGAGAGGGAAGGAGGGAGGGGGAGGAAGAGGGAGAGGGGAGGGGATGGAGGAGGGAAAGGAGGGGGGAAGAGGAAGAGGGAGGGAGAGGAGAAGAGGAAGGAGGGGGAGAGGAAAGGGGAGGGAGGGGAGAGGGAGAGGGAGAGAG